TGTAGCTAATGTTTAGATTTTCCATGAAAATGCTTTGGAGAATGATGAATATCTTACAACTGATTGTAAATCTACCTCTACTTGGTATAAATTTGCCTTCAAACCTGATTATCTGCAACTAATCACTAATTGGGATTACATCTATGCAATTTATAGATAAAGAAGCTATAGAATAGGCATTTCTAGGATACTTAACTAAAAGTAATGAATTTTTAAGGGATACATTGCAAGTTGGTGATATCTTTTGAATTGCTTATACCTCAATTTTCGCTTTTAACTAAAATACATTATAAAACAAGAGACATTCTTGTTAACATAGGATATATATTTATTGGGATTCTGCTTTTGATATCTGTTGGAACTTTTATTTTGATTTTAAAGAAACTATCGACAAAAATATTGCTGTAAAATAATTTTCAATCTAAAAGTTTCATTTATCAGGCTGAGAAGAATCCTATAAACGATTAAAAGAAAGATATTTTTTAATTCAATAATTAGATATTTTTCCTCCTCATATCTTGCTTTTTGCATTAGTGCCAGTATTTCCTTCTAATATGTAACTAGTTTACATTTTGCTTTTGCTAATATTTATTTAGTTGACACTTGGATATGAAACCAGTAATTATGAGACAATAATTTCTGTTTTTTCTCTAGTACTGATGATTATTATGCCATTAGCAAGCTTTGTCTTTTTAAACTATAATCGGAGCAAGCTTTTTATATAAAGTTTCAAATAAAAGTTTAAAGCTCTCTATCCTGGCATTCGGAAAAGTTGTCCTTACTTCTTATTTTATGCATCGATATTTTATTTATAGAGATTAATCTATGGGCTAATTCTGATATTTCTTGAGGATTATCAATAATTTTAGTTGTTTATCAATCTTTTAACCACAATGTTAATACTTGTGTTCCAAGTAATTTATAAACCATTCAAGGGTACTCTCTAAAATTGGTTCGAATATGCTAACCTAACTACTTATTTTTTTATTCTTGACCTTTATATTGTACTTCTAGGAGATATGATTGATGATAATGAAATTAGATTTATGGTTGGATGGGTTGTTGTACTCATTACAATTGCTTTTATTATATTCAATTGGGGATATTTATTCTATATGATGATAGCTAAGACAATAGATTTTGTTAGGAAATTTATATTCAAATATAAAGTAGCAAGATCCGTCAAGAAATAAATTATGAATAAGATAAAATACTAAATGACATAAAATCCATTGTTAGTAGATTTGAAAACTTAATTAGAAAAGAAAGATAGTCTAAGAGATTAATCACAAAACTTTGAGATTAAAGTAGTAGACTTATCATAACATGATTCTTTAAATAAGCAAGATTCAATAATACTCCCTAGACCCATTTCAAAATTATAAAATAGTATTAATTCTCTAAAATAATTCTCAGAAAAAGATTAATTCCTTTAAGTTTCAAAAATTCGCAAGCAACCATTAAAGAAATCTTCATCATTAGCTGATGCCTTTAATGAGAAAATTAATCCTCTAAATATTAAAAGATTGCCAACTGATAAATAACACAATGTATTATACAGCAATATTTTCAATAAAAGCCGTGAAAGCTTATTCTTTTAATAGCATTCTTAAACAAAAACACCTACTAAGAAAATGAAAAGAACAAGCAAATTCCAAACAGGAATACCAAAAAATCCAAGATTAATCCATGTTAAGAATAATTTTCTCCAAGAGAGTAATGCTGAGGAAATATCGTTATTCAAGCTTGATGATTAAGATTCTGAATTGATTTTCGATATGCCTCATGATTTAACACCTAAATTAAAACCAAGAGGAAGGCCTGAAAGATTTTCTCATTTAGAGGATTTCAGTTGGTCTCGATCAGTTTTAAATATCGAGCCAATGTTAAGCTATGAAAACGAGTCTTAAAGAACAATAGATAACGAAGAATATAAAGAATAAAAACAATTACAAAGCATAAAATCAAAACTAGCTAAATTAAATATAAGTTTTTCAAAAAAATGATAATTCAAGAAAAGAAAATCCTTTAAAGAATGGCTTTAAAAATTCTATTGATATAATCATTTTAATTGAAAAAATTATTTAATCATTATTTGATTTTCAGTTAGAGGGGTTTTGGGGTTTTGGGGTTTTGGGG